CAAACTCTGGTCAAGTGCAAAGTTGGTTTGAGTTGAAGAGGTGAAAGGTCTAGAAAAGAAGGAGAGAACCAGCTTGTGTGCCACGGGCCAGGGATGGTGGGGGAGAGCAGGGGGCGAGAGACCTGCTGTTTCTGAGTTCAGAATGACAGGGAGGGGAACACCGGATCCAAATGACGAGGGTCTGGGTTGTGAAGAAATACAACCCGTTTCTGATGCTCTCACCCTGTGCTGGCTGTGTACCAAGCCGGAGAAAGAGCCTGCTGTGCTTGCTGGGTTAGAGATGAAAAATCTTGTTGGGACACTGGCCTGGAGTGCAGAAGACACATCCAAGCTGGAGCTGCGTGTCCACGTCTTCTCTGTGATGGCATCGCATGGAGGGAGTTTCATTTAGACAGTGGGCATACAGAAGCACAGGGCAAGGAGGAAGGTTTTCGGAACATAAGCACCCCAGGGAGGGAGGAAAGTTGATCTGTGATGGAGAAGGAGCAATACGTGGCCCAGAGAGGCCTGAGAATCCACAGTGGTGTCATGGATTTCCAAAAACAACAAAAAAAAAGAGTTTCAAGAAGACTTGGGGTATGGACCAGTGCTGGAGGCTGCTCCCGGGAGGGCTCCCCAGATTAAGGTCATGATCCTACGTGCTGATTTCCTACCCTGATTAGAGTTTCCATAGCAGACGCCTTCGACCTCATTGTCCAAGTGTTAGAGTTGGACACAGGAGACTTCAGTTCCTTGTCGCAGCTATGAGAACTTCGTGCCAGTTAACTTGGCAAATCATTAACTTCTGGAGCCTCGTTTTTCTCTTTTGTAAAGTGAGACAGTTGGCTTATAATTGTTTTAAAAGTTCCTTCTGGCTTTCAAGGTCTGAGCCCCAACTGACTTGGCACTTCGCCAAGCCCCAGCTTGTGGCTTTATGTATTGCTAACTGCCAGTCTCTGGAGGCTAACCATCCAACTGGGTGTAGAATTACCCCGCTCTCTTATCTTGCCTTGATTTGATTCGGTGTTGACCTTCCCACCCTGGAGATAAACACCAAGAGGGCAGGGGAATGGGGTCTCCAGTTGACAACATGTCTCCCTTGGGTTTTTTTTTTTTTCTGAGATTTTCACACCTCTGGACTGTAGAAGGCAGTCCACTTCTGCTGCCAGAGAATGAAGCCTTGATTTGCCTATTTTTAAGTTAGTACACTTTTGAATGAGGTACCGACTGGAACGAGTTTCCAACTGAAGCGAATTGGCTTGTTACTCTTTTTGTCTTTGTTTTGACCCAACTCTTACCTCAACACCACGTGTTTTCAAAGCCAAACTCTTTACCCCATGTTTTCTCCTAGAACATGAGATTTATCCATAACTAATCCAGTAATGATGATATTATTGTTATCAGTCTCACAAATTCTCTTCAGTGGAACCCTTAGTTCCTTATTGATGTTTACAGCAAGAGAGTGTCATGGCCAGAACTCATTTTTTTATTCATGGAACTACTGCTTTGAGATACAGATCCTCTGAATTGTAACTGTGAACAAGAGAGATGTCATGTATGTGCCAAAATATTCAGAGAGGGGCTGGCACTGTGGCACCGCAAGTTAAGGCACTGCCCACAACACTGGCATCCCGTATTGGAGGGCAAGTTCTAGTCCTGGTGCTTTTCTACTAATGTATCTGGGAGAGCAGCAGAAGGTGGCCCAAGTGCTCGGTCCCTACTACCACATGGGACCCAAGCGGAATTCCAGGCTCCTGGATTTGACCTGATTCAGGCCTGGCCACTGAGGCCATCTAGGGAAAGAACCAATAGGTAGATCTCTCTGTGTCTCTTATCACTCCTTCAAATAGATAAATAACTATTTCAACCTCTGTCTTGGTTTAGGGTTGAGGAAGCTGGGGAATGAAGGGGAGAAGCAGCCTACCAGGTAACACAGCCAGGATCCCAACTCCACTTAATTCCATAGGCTTTAAAAGAAGAATCGGTCACATTGAGGACCTAGAATGGGAATTGACCCCACTTAAAAGGACAGAGCATAGCAGAGCTAAGATCTGCATCAGAACTCTGGAAAAGACAGCTAAACCAAAGATTGTTATGTTTGTTTCCATCTCTGACTCCGATCCATGTGGCTGTGGTCTAATGATACACTGGTCTCATTAGATCTATGTCCTTGCTTGTAAAGCAGGGATGTTAGGCCTGGCGACCTCCGAAAGGCTTTGGAGTTGTAATCTTGTCTTCAGGTGAATGGCTGGATACAATGGTTCAGCCGAGACTGAGAACGTGTATGAGTGTGGGGAACAAATATTGTGCTGATGCAGGGGGCTCCTGCCACCAACAGCTAGGCCACGCTCCCGTTCTAAATCCCAGTTCGTGGCCAGCAGGAGGACTGCTGGGGAGTCCTGGGCAAGCAAGCAGGAGAACTACCAGCTTATAACCAACAAGGAGCTCTGATGTTGTACCTCCAAAGGAGTGCTTGGTGCTGCAGGTAAAAGCATCAGCCTGCTGCCTACCAGGGGACGGGAAAGTTGCTGGGACAGGAGACAGGAACAGGCACATAGCTCTCCCACGGGGATTTGCTCCGCCTCTGCTCAAGCGTGGTGCAGCGTTCCACTTCAGTTCCTGCTTGTGGACGTGCAGCTGGAAATGGCCCAGTTCTGAACACCTCCTGCTGCTTTGTGCTGAAAAGGTCTGCAGGCTGTTACCTCCCCAAGGCTTTCTGCTTATCTTCTCTCCTTCCTTTAGCCAATAGAGCTGCAGTTACAGGCCTTCAGCTCTGTTAGAACTGGCTGGGCTCTGTTGCTTCTGATTGCTTCTGGGAGCTTCCTGAGACCAATCTCGCACCAACCATTCGCAGCTGCTGGATGGGTCGCCCAGGCAGGGGCACAGCCCAGGGCCGGCGGTGTAGTCGCTGCTCTATAGTCACAAGACAGTTCTCTAGTAGCCAGTTCCACGAGACCATTTTGGTGCAAAGGACTACATTCTTATCCTCTTTATGACTTTTCTATTCCCACACTTAAAAGCTAACAGAAGCGGAACAGGAGATCTGCTACAATTTTTTCTACACTGGCTCACTTCCAAATTACACAACAGCTAGGGCTGGATCAGATCACAGCTAGGAGCCAGGAACTCCATCTGGCTCCTCCCACATGGTGGCAGGGGCCAGAGCGTGTGGGTCGTCTCCCATTGCTTTCCCAAGTGCAGCAGCAGGGAACCGGATCAGAAGTGGAGCGTGTGGACTCAAACTAGACCTCTGCAATGTGGTGCCAGCACTGCACATGGCAGCTTAATGTGCTGTGCCATAATGTCAGACATACGTAATATGTTCCTAACTAGTTCCACAAACCAAGGTAGAAGCCTACGTGATTTTGTGCGTATGTGTGTATGTGTGTGTGCTTTTAATTGCTAGAAAGAACTCAACGTTTCCTGCAGTGTAACTGCTAAGTAAAACCTCCACCCAGCCCACCCAGTCCTCATGTCCTGCTGGCTTCTCTTATTGCTTCCGGGCTGTCACAGAATTCATGAGGCTTGCAGCCCCCTGTGGCGCATCGTGAAGCTCCCTGGGTGCAGAGCTTCATGCCCGTGTCTCCTTTCCCTAAGTGGCTGCCGTGCAAAAGCAGGAGCTGAGCTACCAGCACTGGACTGCATCCCATCTAAAGACCGGAGGGCAGATTCTCCCATGGCAGAGAGCAAGCAGACAATGCAAGACTTGTGGTCATGGAGCATAGAATGGGTCAGGCAGTTAATGCACACAGCTCTAAAGAAATGAACAGCACGAGGCTGAGAGAGCTAGTCCACATTTCTTGTCCCCAAACACCACACATGCTGGGTGTGCAACACAGCCATGCACATAGTCCATCCAATCGGCGCTGCCTTCTGCCATCCCCGAGCACCACCACAGCGTCCCTGGGCGCATCCAAACACTTGCAAGGCACTGGAGACATCGCTTTTCATTTTCCAAGCGCCTGCGATGAATTTACAACGTTCTCCAACTTCTCTGTGCTCTGGGGATGGGGCAGGCATGCAGTGATGGCTGCCAGCATGTTAAGAAACGTAACTGACGCCAAGAACTGAAATCTCTTTGGAGCCTTTGAAAGGGGTCCAGGAATGTCAGCGCGACCAGCCTGCCCACTCTCTGCCGAATGCCTACTTTGGCTGTCTGCTTTGTACTGAATATGCCAGACGGGCCTTGGTACAAAGGCAGGGCAGGACATGGGCACAGGACAAGGGAAGGCACAGCCTTTCAGATATGATTGGTGAGACTCCAGAAGTGGGTGAGCAAGTGGGGAGAGTTTTAGGAAAAGGATGAGTAAAGAAAAAGAGCCAGCATCCACCTGTGTGTGAGGACCTGCCATGAGAACTGCCCCGCATCTGCTCTGGAGACACAGCCGGCTGTCTCTGCCCTGTGCTTGATGACCATGGCAGATGTCTGTGCCGTAGGCTTACAGAGTTGCCTCGTACCCAAGGACCTCTTCCCCATCTGACAGCAAGATTCTTCCAGCCCTGCCAAGGCACACAGAAGTGTGTGTTTATATCTACTTTGACATTGAATCCAAGTACCATTTGTGGTGTGTGTGATTTGGGATTTTCTTCAACTGTCTTTCCTTCTGGTCTATGAAACTTGAGACATGCTCATGGTGCTACATCTGAATAGCTTGGCGTGTGTTTTTTTTTTTCCCCCCTGAAGCTCACTTAAAGAAAGGAAGACAAATGTTTTGTGCGGTGGAGCGTTCTCTGACTCTTGAACAGTATACTCATAATTCCTTGGATCGGCATCTACTGCCGGAGGAAAGAACTCTTGTGGTGGTGTGAGCTTTTCCGAGGAGGCAGTCTGATGTCATTGGTGGCAGCCGCAGCGTGTATGTGTCTGTCTTTTGTCTGCACCATCTGTTTTTCTCCTTACAGGCTATTGTTCCAAGTTCTCCTCTTTTGCCGGCAAGTGTGCCTCTCCCCGAGAGCCTGCCTTTCAGTGTTACAGAGCTGAGCTGCTACCCTAACCCGAGTGTCCTCTGCTTCCCTCCTAGAATCTTATGGCAAGGGCCTTATATGACAATGTCCCAGAGTGTGCTGAAGAACTGGCCTTTCGCAAAGGGGACATCCTGACTGTCATCGAGCAGAACACTGGTGGCCTGGAAGGGTGGTGGCTGTGCTCCTTACACGGACGGCAAGGCATTGTGCCCGGCAACAGGGTGAAGCTCCTCATTGGCCCTGTGCAAGAGGTCCCCTCCAGTCATGACCAGCCTGCTGCTGCGCTGATGCACCAGAGCTTTGGCCAGCAGAACCGCTATCAAATGCCCAACCCACAGGCGGCTCCTCGTGACACCATCTACCAAGTACCACCTTCCTACCAGAGCCAGGGGATTTACCAGGTTCCCTCGGGCCATGCGAGCCAAGAGCAAGATGTCTATCAAGTGCCACCGTCAATGCAGAGAAGCATCGCGGGGGCCAACGGGCCACACCTAGGTCAAAAGGTGAGTGATGGACCACAGTGTTGCTCCTACTTCTTTATTCTTTGCTGTTACACTCAGCAAAAGTACTGTTTTCAGAGTAATAACCTGAAACTATCAAGAAATAAATAGATCAAATATTCTAACTTAAGCAGCATTTTAGTATTATTTTGTCCATCTATCAGTTAGCAGAACTTTCTAGAATTACCCTATGGCTCAGTATTGTCGATGCCTAACTATTATAATTTCCTGTGTCACTGTTGAGTCATTCATGTAAGACCATAAAATTGTTCCTCCCCATCTTTCTGACAGGTCTTCTAGATTCTAGTGCTCACATCGTTTCTAATCCTTTATATAGCTTCTTGGAGTGGTATGAGGCAACAGATCTTGTCTAATCACAGTGATGCTTGGTCAAAAGCTGAATCCTGTAAAACACCATGGTTTGGCTGTGCAAGGAACTCACCAGAAATGGAGAGTGGGAGGAAGCTGGAAGTAGGACAGGCTCAGCACCTAATTCTTCAACATTATCAGCTCCACGTGGAAACATGCCTACTTGGGACGGTGCAAGGACACCATCCCCTGATTCTTCCAGTGGTTGCTACAGTCATGCCTGGGGCAGTGGGTGAAAAGAATGAAGCCTGGATATTGAGGAGGGCATCAAGTATTTAAAAAGTTGCATGGGGAAGAGTTCTTTAACACCCAAATTGTATGAACTCGATAGAAACGTGCTCATTGAATAATGGATGTTGAGCATATAGTGATGGGTTAGAGGGGATGAAACCCTCATGGTGCTTGCACTGTAGAAGCAGAACCATGAACAAACCTGACCATGTCACCTGGGGATGAATGCTTCCCAGAAAACAGCATCAAAGCACAGAGCAGGGGAATAATCAAAAGCACAAGGGTGCTCTGGCTAACACTACAAAGGAGGGATTTTCATTTTCATTTACTAGCAAATTCTAAAGGGTCCTTTGGCTTGGTCCTAAGAATGGACTCATTTAACGGGACAAGAAAATGTCCTTGAATGACAAAAGGAAAGATGCAGTTAGATAATGCCAACAGCATTTTGAATTGTAGTCTATGAAAGTTAGATGAGCCTTGCCTCGAGTTAACATAAGGGAAAGTCTGAATTTACAAACCCGAGTAAAATAGACAACGTCTGTCTGCAGGCTGCTGGAATTTTCTGTTGGAAAACGCGTGGAGGAGAGGGAGGTTTACTGTTGGATTCCTTTAGGTGACAAAAACAGGAATGCTTTTGCAAATCACCTTTTATACCCAGGGGCTGTTTCCCCAGAGAGCACCCGTGTTGCCTGAGCCTGGTGCATGTTCCTCGGGAGGAAGCACTCCAGGAGTGTGTGACCCAGAGCAGGAGCCCCTGGCTCGAGGGCCTGCACTGAGCCATGACCTTCCAAAGGCCTTCTCACCCCAGTGACTTCACATTCAAAAGTACGGCCAAGTCTGACCTCTGCCTCCAGAGGGGAAGAGACCAGTTGGAAGGTGTAACTATAAACAAATAACTTCTCTCATTCTTAGTTCTGGTTCTTTGCCCCTTAAAAATAGCTCCCCCACTGCAGAGCTGGTGCGAGGCAGACAGGGGAGGCTAGAGCAGGAAATGCTTGGCTCAGAGTGGTGGCTCCAGACTTTCATCACGGTTTATTTTGGCAGGAAGGTGACATGTTTTCCTTTTTAGACTCAACCTTTTCACTTCCAAGTCTGAGAAGCGTGCAACTTCAGACCTCTTCCCATTGTGTCTGCTGGGACAGCATCACATGTTGGTTCCTTGGCTTGCAGTCCTCTGTCTCAAGGGCAGAGGCCGAAACTCACCTTCCCTTGCATGGATGGATGTCAGAGGGTGGTGGAGCTGGGGTGATCCGGGTTTCGTAAATTCTGCACTTGATGGGAGATTGCACGTTTGGAATAAAGCAGGCGCCTCCTGTAGGAAGAGGCCAACTTTGGGAAGGGACCTCCACCAGCACTTCCAGGAGATTCAATCAGGCCACTGGCCACCAGGAACATCTAGAACATGGGATGACACAACCACGATGAGAGATACCATGACCCTCCCTGGAAAGCATTGTCATGCTTTTTGGTCTCCAGGTTGCCTGCTACTGTCCACTGTCCCCTGGACCACGGGCTCACACCTCATCCCTTCCTTCCCGTCCCTACTCCCTTATACTCTCACACTGTCTCTCTCTTTTTTTTTTTTCCCAATGATTTTATGGTACAATTTCACTATCTGGGATTTCTCTATCCGCTCCCCCAAATTCCCACCTCTTGACTGATTTTCCACATATTATTACAATAGTATAGTCCTTAATAATAGCATCAGTCTGTTATTTAGGCATGCCCTAGCATTGCTGGTACAGACAATGTCAGACAGTCCAGCGTCCCACTGGCTAGATATGTCCAACAGCTTTATTGGAAGTCCATCTTTGAGTTGGAAGTGGAGATGCATACTGCATTGTATCTTCACTTCTGAATATGATAGTCTCTATTACGCCATCACTATATATTCCCTTAAACGAGAAGGCAAAAACAAAGTCAACAACAGGTATGAAGTTAAAGCAAAAAATTTACAGCACCATGGAATACATGCCACTGAATAACCAACACACGTCTCCCTGTCTCTTTCCTCTCCTCCATCTTCTTCCTTCCTCTGTTCTTCCCTCTTTCCTTTTCCCTTACCTCCCTGCCTTTACTTGCAATAGCAGAGGTGACTGAGCTGCTCAGATGTAATATTAACCTTCCACATAAGAGCAATTGGTTTAAAAACTTCTGCAACATTTCTCAGTTAAAGGCTTCTCCAGTAGGCGGAAGCTAAGACCGCCTAGAGATAATCCCAGTGCAATGGAGATGAGGTGTGGCGGGTCTTCCTTACATCATTATTATTATTATTATCATTATTATTATTATTATTATTATTATTATAGTTTGGAATTCTCACTTTAGCAAATTTGCTGACTCGCTGAATAAAGGCATTTGTTCATGTTCTCTTCTATAAAATGGGGTGGACCCAGAACTCGATGTTCCTGGTAGTTGAAGCTGAGGTCCTCACAAGCTACTCCACAGGGACGTGAGAAAGCAGTGCAGTCTCGCTCTAACCCACTCAGCTGTGCTTTTGCACACTTCAGTGAGCTCAGAACGACCGACAAAGCTAGGGAGGACAAGTTAAGATGCACATTTCGGGGAGCTCTCCCCCAGTAATTCTCCAGTAGGTCTGGATGGGGCCCCAAGCATCTGCATTTTGTTGAGTGCCTCAAATAGTTCTATGTGAAGTGATCCAAGACTCCGCTCTGAGAAACACCGCGCAAAGGCCTGGGGATGGGCATGGAAATGTGCCAATCTGATTGCCATCTGGGACTTTCCATGGTTCCAAATTCCTTTGATATTGCTACACTGGGCTGCGGAAGTTTGATCCACTAACTTTTTTTTTTTTTTTGCTCTTAGTGAATTACTTAAGGAGGAAAGGACGGATTAAAAAGATAATGATTTCTGCCTCCTTCCACTTTGGTTTTGCTCTCTTGGAGACTCAAGACTCTGCCACCCTCTTTACCCCACCCCACTGAGCGGTACTGACTGGTATCAGTCACTTATGAAATCAGCATCTGGGCCCGATGCAATAGCCTAGCAGCTAAAGTCCTCACCTTGCATGTGCCAGGATCCCATATGGCCAATGGTTCTAATCCCAGCAGCTCCAATTCCCATCCAGCTCCCTTCCTCTGCCCTGGGAAAAGCAGTCAAAGATGGCCCAAAGCCTTGGCTCCCTGCACTCACATGAGAGACCCAGAAGAAACCCCTGGCTCCTGGCTTCAGATCAGCTCAGCTCTGGCCATGGCGCCCACTTGGGGAGTAAATCAACAGATGAAAGAACTTGCTCTCTGTCTCTCCTGCTTTCTGTATATCTGACTTGAATAATACTAGTAAAGAAACCAGCATCTACATAGGGCAAGAATGGCAGTCTTCACGCCACAGGGACAGTGTGATGACTATGGAAATAACTTGGGCTTCGGGAGCAGCCCCAAGGCTCAGTTCCACCCCTTCCTGGCTGTGTGTCCACTGGGAAACCACTGACCTCCCTTAAGCTTCGGTTTCCTCACCTTGAAAACAGGAATAATCATAGCTACCCTCAAGGCTACCGTGAACGTTAACTGAACAGTGTGAGGACTGAGTTTAGCACGGACAGAGCCCGAAAACTGCATTCCCTTCACCTTATTTTTCTTTCCTCTATATATTCGAGTTTCTTATTACCCTCTGGAGGTACAAACGCTTTATTGCTAGCACATACAAAGCAACTTCAAAAAGTTCCCGGAATAGTAAACGAAAAAGCAGTTTTAGGGGCAGGCATTGGGTGCTGCGGTTTAAGTGGCCTTTGGGGATGCCAGCATTTGGTGTCGGGGAGCCTGGCTTGAGTCTCAGATCATCTGCTTCCAATCCGGCTCCCTGCTGATGCGGAGCCTGGGAGGCAGCTGAGTGCTTGGGTCCCTGCCCCCCACAGGGGAGGACGGAGTTCCGGCTCCCAGCTTCGGACTGGCTCTGCCCTCGCTGTTGTAGGCAATGGGGAATGGGCCAGCAGATAAAATAATGACAGTAATAATAAATTTTTGAATCTCTTTTTGTCTCTCTGCCTTTAAAATAAAAACCCAACAAATGTTTTTACTATATTCAAAGAGACGTTGATTTTAGGGTGCAAGCTGTTGAAATCCATGCCTAGTTCCTCCGCAGTACTTCCTGTCCATGAGCTTGCCCTTGGCCTGTGCCTCTCTGATTCCACGAGAATTCTACAGGCGAGCTTGGAAAAGAACTTTCAGAATGATCTGGAAGCCATATGCACTGACACCTTTGCTTCGTCTCAGCTGCCCTTTCGACTCTGGGTTTCTCGTAGAAGGCAAAATGCCCAGTGTCTATAACAATGTTCGAGGGCTGAATTAAAAAAAAATCTCGGCTCAAAAACTGCAAGACAGAAATTAATAAGGATTTAGAAACACGTCTAGGAAACAACAGCATGTCAGCCTCATCGGTTGTTA